TTTACTCTGCGTATAACCCTGTGCTGTCCCTGTCCTGGCAGTGTTTGATGGGGACTGTTGAAGCCTCTAACTAATTGGCCTCCTCTTTATTTTGAATCTTCAGGGCATCTCCTGGGTATGCCGCATGACAGTTCAGATATCTGTACACAAGTCGGGGAGCTGCCAAGTTCCAATCAGATGATGTCCAACCTGTTGACACGGATCGATTACTCTGAACCCTGGTCCAAGTGCAGCAGTAAACTCTCCCTGGGCTTCTTCGAAAGTGGACGAGGTGGGTGGACTCGTCACAACATTCTTTGGTACATCCAACCGGTCAAAGTGACTGCATCTGGTGTGTTTTGGGAACAGCTTTAGCATGCGTTCCCAATCAGTGGCTGCTTCTCAGTTCCCCTGGCTAGGCTTGGAACGAGACACCAAGTTTGCAAATCTTCCCCTGAAATAGGAGCAGAAGTAGGCCTTACGGCCCCTCAAGCCTTCTCCACCATTCAATAAGATCACGGCTGATCAGTTTATGGTCCAAATTCCATATTACCATCGATTACACCCCTCCAAACCCCCGATAATCTTTTGTTCTTTTCCCTGACATGAATCCATCCACCTCCGACTCAAGAATATTCAATGGCCCCTTCAGGCAGACAGTTGTGAGGTTGGACAATGCTCCGAGAGGGAAGAAATTCTCCTTCTCCCTGCCCTGAGAGGGTAAGCCTGAATTTGAAACTGGTGCCTTCCCAGTTTGAACCACACGAGGAAACATCCTTTCACTTTGTTGAGACCATTCAGGATCTTAAGCACTTCAAAACAAGTCACCCCTGCCTCTTCTGAACTCCAGTGCAAACAAGTCAAGTCCATCCAACCTTTGCTCTGAAGTCTATGTGCTCACTTCTACTGAACCTTACACAGCTTTGCTAGAGGTAAGTCTGCCGCGACGCCTCCCCATCTTGACTACTGGTAGAATTTGGAGGACTTTTCTTTCTCGTCTAGACCTGCAATGTGTAGCCTCCCCACTGGCAAACAGACAAAGCCTGGCCCTCTTGAACCAATTGCCCGGTCGGAATGAATATGCCGGGTGCCGTGTGGACATCTTGAGGGAGTCTTAGAGTCATAAAGCATGGAAACAGATCCTTCGGTCCAACCAGTCCCAAATCAAACCATAATCCCAAACTAAACTAGTCCCACCTGCCTATGCTTAGCCCATGTACCTCCAAACATTTCTTATTCATGTACTTATCTAAATGTCTTTTAAAATGTTGTAACTGTACTCACATCTAACACTCCCTGTAGAAGTTCATTACACACACAAACCACTCTGTAAAAAAAAATTGCCCCTCTTGTCTTTTTTTAAAATCTTTCTTGTCTCACCTTAAAAATATGCCACCTAGTCTTGAAATTCCCCACCCTAGGGAAAAGACATCTGTCATTTACCTTATCTATAACCCTCACTATTTTATAAACCTCTATAAGGTCACCTCCCACCCTCCTATGTTCGAGTGAAAAGAGTCCCAGCCTATCCATATAATTCAAACCCTCAATTTCCGGCAACATCTTGGTAAACCTCTCCTGAACCCTCTCCAACTTAATAATGCCCTTTCTAAAACAGGGTGACCAGAACTGGACGTAGTACTCCAGAAGAGGCCTCACCAATGTCCTGTATAACCTCAACATAATGCCCCAACTCCTATATGCAAAGGTCTGAGCAATGAAGGCAAGCATGTTAAATAGTCAAAGGCTGAGAGAACAAACCCTAACAAAAATCCAAGAGTGGTGCCTGGACAAACAGATGCCTGAGTAGGTCATCACTGCAGCGTTGTTGCAACTGTGCAAAGCATTGGTGAGACAGCTTTGGTCCCTTTACTTGGGGAAGGATGCAATTGCATCTGAAGCAGTTCAGAGAAGGTTCACTAGATTGATTGCAGAGATGAAAGTCTTGCCTTACGAACAGTGATTGCTTACACTGTCTGGAGTTTAGAAGAATGAGAGGAGATCTAATTGAGGTATAGAAGGTGCTAAAGGGGTTTGGTAAAGTAGACTTGGAAAAGATGCAGGGCAATAGAGCGGTCATAGTTTTAGGATTGGGGTGGGAGCAGATTTAAAACAGCAATGAGGAGAAATTACTTCTCTCAAAGGGTCACAAACCTGTGGAATTCATTCCTCCAGAGTGTGGTGGATGCTGGGACACTGAATAAATTTAGGGAAACAATATTTTTTATAGTAATAGATTAAAGGATTATGCGGGGTGGGCACAAAAGTGGAGTTGAGGCCGAAATGAGATCAGCCATGATTGTATTAAATGGCAGAGCAGTCTCAAGGGGCTGAATGGCCTACTTCCACTCTTAATTCTCATGTTACATTCTCCGGCAATCCCAGCAACCGGTCCAATGCTAAACCTTGTCATTTGCATTAAATTTTTCTTCTTTCACAGGATGTGGGTGCCACTGGCTACAACAGCATTTACTGCCCATCCCTTGAACTGAGTGGCTCGCTCGGGCCACTTCAGAGGGAAGTGAAAAGTTAACCCCATTGACGTAGGTCTGGAGTCACAAATAGGCCAAAGATGGTTGCCATGTTTGACACAGAGAATGACTGGCTAAAGCACGGCAAGAGCGATACAGGATAAAAGGCTTGGTTTGAGGTTGTAAAACCAAAGGAATGCCTCCGGATTTAGTGGCCTCAACTACATTTGATCCATTTTCAGGGGACTTTGAGGAAGGGCTTGAGAGTATGGTAGCCAAGTGTGTCAATAATACAATGGTAGGTAAGAAAGCTAGTTGTGAGGAGAACACAAAGAGATATGGATACGTTATTGTTATGGCATAATGTTTTTCAAATGGTAATTGGGAAGTGTAGATGTACAAAGGCACCTGAATGTCCTTGTCCACTACGCAATGAAAGTAAACAGGTAAATGCAGCAAGCAATTAGGACAACAGATGGTATAACAGCCTCCATTGTAAGAGGATTTGAGTTCAGACTTAGAGATGTCTTACTGCAGTTATACAGAGCCTTGGTGAGACAGTATCTGGAATATTACTTGCAATATTGGCCTCCCTATCTATGGTAAGATATACTTGCATAGAGGGAGTGCAGCAGATGTTCACTCGGCTAACACCAGGAATGACATCCAATGAGGAGAGATTGATTCCACTGGGCCGCTATTCAATAGAGTTTAGAAGAATGAGAAGGGATCTGATTGAAATGTATAAAATTCTAACAGGGCTGGACAGACTAGATGCAAGGGTGATGTTTTCCCCGGTTGGGGAGTCTAGAACCAGGAGTAAAAAAATCTCTGTATATGAAGCAGACCATGAGATAAGGAAACATTTCATCACTGAAAGGGTAATGAACCTGTGGAATTCCCTAGCATAGGAGGCTGTGGAGGTCAAGTCACTGAATGTATTCAAGAAAAAGTTAGATATATCTTTTAGATATTAAAGACATCCAGGGAGATGGGGAGCAAGCAGGAGTATGGCAATGAGAGAGGATCAGCCATGCTAATGTTGAATAGTTGAACAGGTTCAAAGGTCTGAATGACCTACTCCTGCTCCTTGGTTTGATGATTAAGTGAATGGGAAGCAGTTACGCAAGTGGAGTAATATTTTAGAGATAGTGAGGTTGTCCACTCTAGCAGGAAATCAGAATATTATTTATATGAAGAGAGCTTGTATCATCTTGCAGGGCAGAGGGATCTGGGTGTAATTCAATTTGATTTATTATTGTCACATGTACCTAGGTACAGTGAAAAGTTTTATTTTGTTTTAACCCCAGGCAGATCATAATACAAAGTGCGTTAGGGTAATAGAACAGAGTGAGGAATATAATATTATGGCTGAGAAGGTGAACAAAGAGCGAGATCAATATTAAACTTAAAATTTGGTGGTAAAAAAGTCACATAAATCTAGTACACAAATGCAGCAAGTGATTTGGAAGGCAAATAAAATATTGGTGTTTACTATGGAGAGAGGAATATAAAAATGGGGACATCTTGCTACATTTGTACAGGGCATTAGTACAGTGTACAATTCTGGTCTCCTTACATACAGAGGGATATATTTGTCCCAGGAACAGTTCAGAGAAGGTTCACTAGGCTGATTCCTGGAAATGAAAAGTTTGCTTTATGGGAAAGGATTCAGTCTTTATTCATTGGAGTTTAGAAGAATGAAAGAGGATCATTTGGAAACAGCTAAGATGCAGAGAGGGGTGGATGCTGACAGGATCTTTCCTCTCATTCTGGGACACAATCTAAAGAAAGGGATGCTCCATTAAATACAGGGCTGAGAAGGAATTTCTTCTCTCTGAGGGTGGGGATTCTGTGGAATTCTGTATCAGTGGAGGCTGAGTTACTCAATATGTTCAAGGCTGAGTTAGGTAGATTATCTGTGTGTGTCTGTGTGTGTGTAAGGAAAATAGAATTAAGACCACAGCCAGATCAGCCACAATCTTATTATGGTACAACTGCCTCAAGGGGCTGAATGGTCTACTCCTGCCATTGTTTATACGATCTGGATGATTTCAAAGGAAAGACCTAAGAGCACGGTGGCCTCAAGCTCACTATTCTCAAGGATAGAAACACCTCACCCTCCTCATTAACAGCTTAGAGCAAGTCCTCACACCCATCTCTCAACTCAAATGGGGCCTATTAACCCCAGGAGTATCCTGCAATGCTGTCGTCAACTGTAAAAGACTGTTTCCCTGAGGACATTACTAGCAGCAGGATCCCTGCCGTCAATACACTCTGGGGCTGTGGTGGGGGGAGTTGGGGGGGGGGGGGGTGTGGGGTCTGGTCTTCAACACAATAGTGGGTGCAGACCATGATGTGGTCCATGACACAGCCTCATCAAGAGAAAACGACAACAGAGATTGCTTGAGCTCAGAGGACACCACCAGCTCTGTGTCATCAACGCCTTACTGGCGGAAGAAAGGTTGCTCCTGGAGACATCCAGGATCAGGAACCTGATCGATGCCACCGTGACGCTCTGAACAGCACCGACTGTGATACACATCACTCTCTGGTACATATCAGGTTAACATGGAAGCTAGTGCACAGGTGCAGCAAGCTACTGGGAAGGCAAATGGCATGATGGCCTTTATCACAAAGGGAGCTGAGTACAGAGTCCTGCTGCAATTGTTTACAGCTTTGCTGAGACCTCACCGGGAGTCCAGACAGAGTTGGTCTCCTTATCTAAGAAGGATAGACTAGCTGTAGCGGGCGTTCAGTGGAGATTCACCTGACTGATTTTTGAGATGGTGGGATAGAAAGCAAGATCCGTACTCCTAAA